AAGAAACAAGCAAAAAAAGATAAAGTAATCTTAGAAATGAAGGCTAGACTATAAGATTTACAAGACAAATTGATTTAAATGAAATATAACAAGGACCACTGAAGAAACTAAAATAACAAGAAGAATGAAAATGAAATTTTAAGAAATGAAATTTAAAATAGTCATCAAGGGAAGGGGTGCCAAAGTAGAAAGCACAAAGGAAATAATACACATATTATTGATGTCTCTGGGAGGAAACACAAAACAACTGAACAGGCTATTATTTAAACATGAACAGAGAAAAATTTCTGAAATGAAAGATAACTAGAGTTTTCCCTGGAGAGATTGGGGGCAAGAGGAGAAGGGGAAAACAGAGGATGAGATGGTTGGATGGCATCACCGATTCGATGGACATGAGTTTGAGTAAACTTTGGTAATTGGTGATGGACAGGGAGGCCTGGCGTGCTGAGATTCATGGGGTCGCAAAGAGTTGGACACGACTGAGCGACTGAACTGAACTGAATTGAACTAGTGGCTCAGATGCTAATAAATCTGTCTGCAATTTGGAGACCTGAGTTCAATCTCTGGGTCAGGAAGATTCCCTGGAGAAGGGAATGGCAACCCACTCCAGCATTCTTGCCTGGAGAATCCCATGGAAGAGGCCTCGTGGGCTACAGCCCATGGGGTTTCAAAGAGTCAGACATGACTGAGCAACTACCACTAACACTAAACACTGAAACAGCTCTCCCTGTAATCCAGAAAAATTAACTCTGAGAGTGCTCCTAGTAAAACTATAAGATTCCAAAAGCAAATTTTCAAGCCTTGTAGGTACAAAGACAAAATGATTAACATGGCAAAAGATATATAGAAGGTATATCACAGTAAAACAACAGGACAAATGAAATTATAAAGTTATGTCCAAATGTATTCATAATTAAATAAATGCAAATCAAAATAACATTCAGATACTAGCTTTAGGAACAATATTGGGCAAAATTTTTAAAGATGTACAGTTAAGTGCTCCATATCCTCAAGTGTCACATTCACAAATTCAACCAAACATGGATAAAAAAATATTCAAGAAAAAAAAAAAATTCCAGAAAGTTCCAAAAAGTAAAACTTTAATTTGATGCACTCCAGCAACTACTTACAGAGCATTTACCTTGTGCTAGGTGTTATAAGTAACCTAGAAATGATTTAAAGTGTAGGGGAGGATATGGGAAGGTTATATGCAAACACTGTCAGTTCAGTTCAGTTCAGTCGCTCAGTCATGTCCGACTCTTTGCGACCCCATGGACAGCAGCATGCCAGGCTTCTCTGTCCAGCACCAACTCAAGGAGCCTACTCAAACTCATGTCCACCAAGTAGGTGATGCCATCCAACCATCTCATCCTCTGTCATCCCCTTCTCCTCCCACCTTCAATCTTTCCCAGCATCAGGGTCTGTTCAATGAGTCTGTTCATCACACAAGGTGACCAAAGTATCAGAGTTTCAGCTTCAGCATCAGTCCTTCCAATGAATATTCAGGACTAATTTTCTTTAGGATTCACTGGTTGGATATCCTTACTGTCCAAGGGACTCTCAAGAGTCTTCTCCAACACCACAGTTCAAAAGCATCAATTTTTTGGTGCTCAGCTTTCTTTATAGTCCAACTCTCACATCCATACATGACTACTAGAAAAACCATAGCTTTGACTAGATGGACCTTGGATGGTAAAATAATGTATCTGCTTTTTAATATGTTGTCAAGGTTGGTCATAGCTTTTCCTTCAAGGAGTAAGCATCTTTTAATTTCATGGTTGCAGTCACCATCTGCAGTGATTTGGGAGCCCCAAAAAATAGTCTCTCACTGTTTCCATTGTTTCCCCATCTATTTGCCATGAAGTGATGGGACTGAATGCCATGATCTTAGTTTTCTGAATGTTGAGTTTTAAACCAACATTTTCACTCTCCTCTTTCACTTTCATCAAGAGACTTTAGTCCTTCTTTGCTTTTTTTTTTTTTTACAATGTCAAGATGGTGGAGGAATAGGATGGGGAGACCACTTTCTCCCCCACAAATTCATCAAAAGATCATTTGAATGCTGAGCAACTTACACAAAATGGCTTCTGAATGCTGGCAGAGGACACAGGGCACCCAGAAAGGCAGCCCATTCTCTTCGAAAGGAGGTAGGACAAAATATAAAAGACAAGGCAAGTACTACACCAATATAAATAAAAGACTTGAACCTCAAAGACTTTGTTATCTTAGAGGACCCCGAAACCAACCCCTCCTGGACACTGAGGCATGATTGTATAAATCACGGTGTGGATGAGATCATGGGAATCAGGCAGTCTGTTATATGGCTGATGTATCTGTCAACAGTGGTGACCATTTTGGAGATCAATTTAACAGTGTCTAGCAGAATTTCTAAAGCATATGCTCTGTCTTTTGACAGTCTCCCTGCTAGGAATTTATAATATTTTCTACTCTCCACAGTGCTCTAAGAATGTTCTTTTTTTTCTGATAGCAGCAAGTCCATGAGCAAAGGAACTGTCTGTTTATTCTCTGTCAAGTTTCTGGAAGAAGTTGGCACATACTTGGTGTTCAGTAATTTAATGGAATCAATGAACAAAATAATCAATTTTTGTATAGCATTGTTTGAATAGCAAAAGCTAAAAATAAATGCCCATTAAATAATGGTGCCTCATATAAAGTAATGCAGAATGTTTTTTTAATGAGAAGGATCTGTATGTCTGAGCTCCTAGATTTATAGGTTAATGCAGAGCAGTCTATTAACCATTTATTGAAAAAGTTTTACTCAATACTGTGTTTCAATAACATTTTAATTTTCTCTTTATTGTCCCTTCAACCTATAATGTGCTTCCCTGGTGGCTCAGTGGTAGAGAATTTACCTGCCAATCCAAGAGACTCAGGCTCAATCCCTGGTTTGGGAAGATCCTCTGGAGTAGGAAATGGCAACCCACTCCAGTATTCTTGCCTGGGAAATCTCATGGACAGAGGAGCCTGGCAGGCCACAGTCCAGAGGGGTTGCAAAGAGTCANTCTGGAGTAGGAAATGGCAACCCACTCCAGTATTCTTGCCTGGGAAATCTCATGGACAGAGGAGCCTGGCAGGCCACAGTCCAGAGGGGTTGCAAAGAGTCAGACACGACTGAGCAAGAACACACACACACACACAACAGTCTACAATGTGGGTTATTTCATTCTCAATCTTTGAATGAAAACTTGAACAGATCTTCATAAGCTTCCTGGTCATTCACAGATGCTAAGAAGACTTCTGATCATTTTCAGACAATGACACTCTTGTTTCTGTATTAAAATCCCCAGACCAAAGTCATACTGAGATAATTCTATACTGTTTCCCCACTGGCAACTCCCTCTCTCTTTCAGACTTGGGGTTCTGCAGGCGGTGGGGAGGTGAAGAAAAGCAATGTCTGGAGCAAACTAAAAATTGGCATCTTCCTCTATGAAGATTGTCACAAACCACTGCAGCTGCTGACCTTCAGCACTCCCTGAAAAGAGTTCAGGGTGCAGGTCAGGAATGAAGCACTGTGTGCCCTGGGAAAGCTTGGCAGAACAGGCCTTACGACAGTTAGATGTTTTCAGGAGAAGCTCTTTATGAACCCAAATTTTTGCATCTCCTCATCTAGAAAAGCACTAAAAATCATTAGCGGTGACATCCATTCCTTGTGACTAACAGCCAGCCTCTGCCAAAATGTGTACTTGACTCCACGTACTCCCCTTCATTAAGGTCATACATGTCCTGTCCTTTCCCCTCGACCTCGGCAGAGCAGTTTCAAAGCTATCTGAGATGTTTTCTCCCGGACTATGGTCCTCAATATGCCCCAAGTAAAACTTAGCTCTCAGATCTCATGTTGTGCTTTTTATTTTTTTTCAGTCAACACTAGAGGGGGCCAAGAGTGGTCATCCTACCTCTCCCCAAGGCTGCCTCATTTTCCTTTCCTTTCCCTAAGTTGCTTGTGACTACCTCATGGGGAGGATGGAGCCAGGCATGGTGGAGAGGAGAGGGTCAGACTCAGGAGCAAGCGAGGCTGTGCCCCGTGACCATGGCAGATGCCCCTGCAGATCGCCTTCTCCCGTCTTCATGGAGGCCCTCTTGTGCTTGGACTGAACGTGGCCCAAGTGCAGCTCTCCCCTCGAAGCTCCCTCGGCCATTCCTCTCTCAGTCTTCAGCCAGTGAGTCCAGCCCCAAGAAAGTGCATCTCCTGCTCCCAGCTCCACACCCTGAGATGTCTTCTCCCACTAGCCACCTCCACCTAAGGCACGTCCAGAAGGACCAAGTCCTCACTGCTGTTTCTTGAAGCAAAAAGACTAGTAGCCCATCTAAGAGAGCTGAACCTTTATATCCAGAGTAAAACGCAGGAATGAAGTTTATTTGGGGGCATTTTAAATGATCCAACTTTAAAAGTGATCCAAGACTTGATGCATTCTGCTGAAGTATTGGGACTTTCATTTAAATAAATTTCTTTTAAGCAATTTTTTTTTCTTTCAGACTCAGTCAGGTTAAAACAATTGTTAAATATAATGCATTTAACTAAAGCTGGCAGTTGTAACCAATGTATTTGGGGGTGATAATCCATATAATAATAATTTATAAAAACTTAAGAAATCTTTTATTTTTAACTGCCAATTTATATTAATTCTAAAGTACAAATTTTGCTTTTTAAATTAATCAAAAGTACCAGGCACTATATAAGTTTAAATTTTTATATATGATAGTTTGATAAGGGCTTATAAAAATAAATACATGTACTTTTTATAATGCCAAACACTGAAATCTGGCATCATGTCTAGTGGATATAGTTACAGAAGGAAGTGTGGGATGGTATATGTTAAAAATCTATTTTCAGCAACACTGCAATAACAAACAAAAAAATGTGTCTGAAGCTCTTCCTTCTTATGAACAATCTCAGTTTGGACATCAGTTCTCTAGTATATTTTGTGTGTTCACCTGTTACAAAGGCATAGTACAAAGCAGGGGATTTTAACCACATTTAAAATCATTTTATTTGTAGAATATTTGTAGCAACTAAGGGATGCAGATGCAATTATTTAATAAAAGGACACACACACAGGGAGGATTAACATATTTCTTGCTGAGCCAAGAAGACCTCCTCTTTTTCTGGATGATATTCATATATCCAGAAGTGACATGTGGATGAAACAGTCTGTAGACAAGGAAGAGTATAATATTCCTGGGATAACTCTTTCTTTTCCTAAGAAAGTAGGGGTAAGCATACTAGCTGAGGTTATATGCAGCACAAAGGTATTAAACAAACATGGAAATTAAATTTACAATGATAAGTACAAAGCTCTACAAATCTACCAGAACTGAGTATTGTTTATTAAACTGAATGACATAATATTTCATGAAATATAAAGTTTGGGATGTATAGAAAGAAGGTAACATAAAGAGATTAAAAAAACCTTACATTTATGAGTTCAGATTAAATGGGGGGAAAACAAGACATACAAAAAATTACGTGAATCTAATTGATGCACTTGTATGAACTACTCCATTTGTACTTATCTATGCACCTTCTTCCTGGAGGATGTCATGGCAATCCATTCCAGTATTCCTACCTGGAGAATCCCCATGGACAGAGTAAACTGGAGGGCTACAGTCCATGGGGTCGGAAAGAGTCAGGCATGACTGAGCGACTAAGCACATGCACCTTCTTAGAAATTACCAATAAAACACTTGAAAAACTTACATTAAGCTAAAAATAAGGCTCATTATATTCTTTAGTAAAGCAGGAAAATAAGAAAATATGAAAAATGAATTGCTATAAATGTCAGAAAATTTTTAATGATAATGAAGGAACTCTAAGGCCAAAAGGAAATCAAACCATATTTTAATAACATACAGAAAATAATGAAGAAGACATTATATTTTAGAAATTATTACATGTCAACAAAGTAGTCCTCAGAGAAAAACTTAAGGCCAAAATACATTTCATCATTTGGCAAAAGTGAAATTAAAATAATTTAAGCATATACTTTTAAACGTTAGAATCACAAATCAAACCTGTGAGAATCAAACAAATGAATTAATTAAGATTAAAGTGGAAAAGCCTTCCTCAGTGATCAATGCAAAGAAATAGAGGAAAACAATAGAATGGGGAAGACTAGAGATATCTTCAAGAAAATGAGAGATACCAAGGGAACATTTCAGGCAAAGATGGGCTCAATAAATGACATAAATGGTAGGGACCTGACAGAAGCAGAAAATATTAAGAAGAGGTGGCAAGAATACCCAGAAGAACTGTACAAAAAAGGTCTTTACGACCCAGATAATCACGATAGTGTGATCACTCACCTAGAGCCAGACATCCTGGAATGTGAACTCGTGGGCCTTAGGAAGCATCACTATAAACAAAACTAGTGGATGTGATGGAATTCCAGTTGAGCTATTTCAACTCCTGAAAGATGATGCTGTGAAAGTGCTGCACTCAATATGCCAGCAAATTTGGAAAATTCAGCAGTGGCTACAGGACTGGAAAAGGTCAGTTTTCATTCCAATCCCAAAGAAAGGCAGTCCTAAAGAATGCTCAAACTACTGCACAATAGTGCTCATCTCACACACTAGTAAAGTAATGCTCAAAATTTTCCAATCCAGACTTCAACAATAC